CCCCAAAACCCCAAAACCCCTTGGTTATGTTAATAATAAAAATCTGATATATTGAAAAATAAGTAATTAAAAAAGTTAAGCATGGATAATTAAAGTGAACAGTTTAATGGTTCGAACTTTGTAATTGGAAGTAACCCATTATTTACTAAAAGTGAATTGGACTGGTTTGATTTCGAGACACGTATTCGTAGAATTATCTATGACCTGCTGCTCCCAGTCAACACTCGTATGAAGGAAGTTAAAGATACAAATGAACACTCAAGACTGATTGTTAATAATATGGAGAAGTCAGTTAACGATTTCAGACTTACGAACAAGCATTACGATATGAGAATCAGGCAGATTGAAGAAATCGCCAAGAGACTTTACAAATTGGAAGAGGAGTAAACAGCTGTGGACTAGAAGATTCACGGAGTAACAAAGAATGTGGCTAACTTGCATCAGCAAATAATTGCATTCTAGGGAGCGATTAACACGCAGTTTCATACTCTTGAGAAGAATTTCAATAGACAAGGAATGTATGATTACATTTAGGAATAAGTAGATGGTATAAAGAATGAGTATATTAAAGAGGTAATTGAGGCAAAGCAAGAAAGAGATCGCTACTTTGACACCTACAAGGAGTAGGTAGACAATCTCACTGAATCAATTAGATTGCTTTAAGCTAGATCACTTAAAATGAGTGAAGAGTTAGTTTCAAACAATGTAAAGGTCAAAACCTATGAGATGCGAAGCACAAAAATTAGAGATAAACTCAAAGAAGTGCATGAGAAAGTAAAAACAAACAAGAATAAACTTGAAGGTATAAACGGCCTAGACAATCATAAGAAAGATGTTTCAGTGAGAATGGCATTCATAGAGAACTATATTATGAACACAATACCTATTTAAACACAACAATTGATTACTAACGCAATGTAGCAATCATAAAATACAAAAAGTAGATAGTCAAAGTTCGCTTCAATATTTTCAAGCTAAATCTAACAATTAATAGCTGAACAAAAGAAGCCTCAAAATGATGAAAATAAAAGTTAAACTGGTAGCCCACTTAAGAAATCTTCACAAATAAGTTTGCCCTAAGTAAACATTGAGAATTTAAGCCATGGAAATGTAGGTGGAGGGTAAGGACCACTATCTTCAAATGAATTTCATCAAAACAGTGCTAAGAGCTTACAAACTAATTAACAGTAAAATCAGTAAAATCAGTAAAATCATGTGTAGCTGAGTCCTAGGACATTAAGAAAAATGTAGGAAAATAAAAACTCTGAAAATAATCAAAGTCTAAGCAATCTTTATGCAAATATGTAAGGCTCAAATAATAATTAAAACCCCTCCGTAATGAATTTCATGAATATCATGAAAGGCAGTAGTTTATTCTAAACAATGGTCTAGCATTAGAATTAAGTAGAGAACAACTTCAGAAATCATCAAACTCAGCAGAGCATTTAGCTCGCAAACCAGATGCAGCTTCTGCAACAATAAGTAACCTATTAGCTAATGCAAAATCAAAGCAGGAATAATAGTAATGACTCCCAATAGCTAAATAATAATGCCAAGGATCAAAGAGTATCTTTCTCACCCTTATCATCTAGCAAAAACATCACAAAAAACTTATTCAGTCCAATAAGTTCAACTAAGAATGACTAATAAAATCCAAGCAATTAAGATGACTTCCAAAGCAAAGCTCTCAGTGACAAAGGTGATTCTAATTCTAAAAGCAAAAGGCTAAGTGTTGGGAAAAGAGTGCATGGTCTAAGCAGAACTAAAAAGAAGTCAGTAAGTATTGTTGATAAGAAGAACCAACCTAGAAAATCAATTACAAGAGTAGATGATATCCCCTCCAAGCGTTTCCTATATTAAGATAGAGAGAGTAAGGGCCATTAAAGTTCTGACAGTGCAGTATCAGGGACTGGATATGCTAGGCAACGAACATAATCGCTAAAACAAATGGATTCAATAGTCAACAGAATGGCTGCAAAGATTGATGAAACCAGAAGACAATCTGAGTTCCCTTAGCAAAGCAGTCATTAGGCGGATTCCTCATCCACGCCTATGAGGCAACTTTTTATGAATTTAAAGTTCAATACTCCAATATAAGAAGTTGATAACTCATTGTATGGCTCAGAGTCTGGCTCTGGATCTGGTGTTAATATCGTGGCTGGGCTAGGCACTATTGCTAATATGGCAGCCAGCTAGAACGCAAATAAAAATCAATTAAATCCAAATATCTATGAGTAGAGCGAAAAAGAGAAGACTAGCAGCAGATAAAGTGATGAATAGAGGCCATTCAGTGAAAGCTCTAAAAGCAGATCATCTAAACAAAGTAAAAAGTCAGCTCAAAAACCCAAGAAGAAGAGGACCAAGAAAATAAAGCTAAATTAGGACGAGATAAAGGAAACAGAGAGGGAGTCAGAGGATGAAAAGGAAGACAGCGATGACGACTTGGACTTCGATGACGACAACAGTGTGAGTGTTGAGAATGTAGATGAAGATGAAAAGGCTCAATAGCATAATCTAGGCTAGACTGAGTAAATTATGGAAGACGATGACGAAGAACTAGACTCTGATAGTCTTAGGACTGATACTCTCACAGAGACTTCCTTGGACGAGAGACTTAAAAGTGAGTTCAGATAGGTGAATATCAAAGTTTAAGACCTAGAAGAGAAAGTAGCATACTTGGAAGGTAAACTTAAGTCAAATGAAAAAGACTTCTCTAGGAAAGTGGATCTTTCAAAGTCACATATAGAGTTAGTCGTGGAAGGTCTCAAGGACGAACTGGAAAAATTGACTCACAGATGGCAAAGATTCAAAACAGACAACGACTTATTTAACAAAGAGCAGCAGAACAACATCAGCAAAGCTCGCGATGAGTGCAGGATAGTCAGGGAAAACAATGAAACTGTGCTTGATCTGTTCTAGTTGATGCAGGAAAGTATCAGGATCCTGATTGCATTGCAAATCTAAGACGAGATAGATAGAAAGTCTCTATCCCTTGTTGGCCAGAAATCTCATTTTGTCAAAGCAAGCAGAGAAAATGCACTACAGTCATCTTAAAATATAAGGACATAGCCCTCGTCACCCAGAGGAGCAGTTGGAGGTGTAATTGAGAGAGTCGTGTTCAACTAGTATATTCAGCTAGATCCACAATGTCTGAGTTGCTCATAAAATCCAAATGAGATAAAAACTGCCTTCAAGTTGGCTTGTCTTTCCTATAAGCCTTCAAACATTGAGTTTAAAAGTAAGAATTAATCGTCATTCAACTATTCTAATAGATATAATATTTGAAAGGTAAAACCTGCTACAGCTACTGACATTCGTCGTGGATGAGACTGAAGTCCTAGAAAATCAGTTGGCTAGATAAAGTCATGAGCACAAGATCATCATGAACAAGCTTTTAAACCGAGTCACAGTCTGGTAGAATGAGAAGATTCAAAGGTCTTTTGGAGTTGAGAAACTCGGAGACAACCTGAATCACAGTGGTCACCAAAGAAATATGAATCAAGCATCAACCAGTATGCTTAGCTCCACCAATCAATTGCTATCTGAGAAATAGTATCCCTTAATGAATGAAAACCAGCAAGTGTTCGTGAGGAACAGGAGGAAGAAGCAGTTCAGGAATATGAGCTCGCATGGGTTCGATACCTACGACATGATGATTAATAGAATGCCTAACTTATCGCCCCTCAGTCATATAGCACTCGCTCCCTTCCTAGAGGAAACGCAGTAACTTAAGTAGATCAGAAGGCAGAGAGAGATCCTTAATTAAACTGCCAAAATATGATAATAATATATTGAATTTAACTTTGATTTCATCAATCCTTCCAGTATATTAATTTACTACTTTATGGGGTTTTGGGGTTTTGGGGAGATCGGAAG